TATATATATATATATATATATATATATATATATATAGGGCTTAGCATATTTACTTCACTCAATAATTCATGAAATTTTTATTATATTATATCATTTTAATAAAAAAATCAATCATAAAGTTAATTTTATAAAATCAGTACTACTTTTTATATATTTATTATTGGTATTTCTTGGCATGTGCTTAAGATGACACTTATCATGAGTGGATGAAATATTTAATTTAAAGTTTTGACATAAATCATTATAACTAAATAAAGAAGCCTAAATTTTTGCCATTACCATTATTATCACTTGCGAAAATGTCGACATATTTTATGTCTATCTTTATTACATTTTTAATATTTATTACTATTATTGAATAAAGAGAAAAAAAAACAAATAGAAAATGAAAAATATAGATCTAATGATATAAATAAATTGTCAACAAGGTATTGATTTCACTGAAACTTGATTTATTTGAATCTCTTAAGTAAGGTATTGAGTTTGAATTTTGTTAATAAAAAAGTAATATAATTAGAAAGATGTACCCTACTACAAATAGCTATAACCAGATTTTGGACAAATATTGGTTATTAATAAAACTAATTAATTTTTGCACCAATAACACAATTATTTACTATATATATACACACACATAAATATATATAGGGGTCTTAGCATATTTACTTCACTCAATAATTTATGTAAGTTTTATTGTATTATATCATTTTTAATAAAAAAAAATTATTCATAAGGTTAATTTTATATACTATTTTTATATGTTTATTATTAGTTTTTCTTAGCATGTGCTTAAGATGACACTTATCATGAATGGATGGAATATTTAATTTAAAGTTTTACCATAAATCATTATACCTAAATAAAGAAGCCAAAGTCTTCAAGAAACGTCTTCACCATTATTATTATCGCTTACGAAAATGCCGGCGTATTTTTTGTCTATCTTTATTGTCATTTTAACATTTATTACTATTATTAAATAAAGAGAAAAAATAGATAGAAAATGAAGAAGTTAGATCAAATGATATAAATAAATTATCAACAAGGTGTTGATTTGAGTAAAACTCGATCAATTTGAATCTTTTAACTAAGGTATCGAGTTTGAATTTTGTTAATAAAAAAAATATAATTAGAGCTAATCAGATTTTGGACAAATATTAGTTATTAACAAAACTGATTAATCTTTGCACCAATAACACAATTATTTACAGAATATAGACATACATATCTATAGTAAGTCTTAGCATGTTTATTTCATTCAATAATTCATGAAAAATTTATTGTATTATGTCATTTTTAATAAAAAAAATTAATCATAAGGTTAATTTTATAAAATCAGTACTACTTTTTATATATTTATTATTAGTTTTTCTTAACATGTGCTTAAGATGACACTTAACATGAATGGATGAAATATTTAATTTAAAGTTTTACCATAAACCATTATAGCTAAATAAAGAAGCTAAAGTCTTCAAGAAACGTCTTCGCCTTTACTATTATCGCTTACGAAAATGTCGGCATATTTTCTATCTATCTTTATTACAGTTTTAATATTTATCACTATTATTGAATAAAGAGAGAAAAAAAACAGCTAGAAAATGAAAAAGTTAGATATAATGATATAAATAAATTATCAACAAGGTGTTGATTTGAGTGAAACTCGATCAATTTGAATCTTTTAAGTAAGGTATCAAGTTTGAATTTTGTTAATAAAAAAATAATATAATTAGGAAGATAAACCCTACTACAAATAGCCAACCAAATTTTGGACAAATATTAATTATTAATAAAACTAATTAATCTTTATACCAATAACATAATTATTTAAAGAAGATACACACACAAATTAAAAATTCTTAATATATAGATGAATTTTATAAAATTTTGTAAAAATTAAAAATCATATGATACTTTATTATATTATATAAAATAGTGTTAAAATTGAGGAACCTGAATTAAAAAGTGAAGGGATATTCAGTTAAACGTAATGAATAAATTAATAATAAAAAAGAGTGGAAGAGTACTTCGGCTACATAAGATAAAGGGTAAAATAATTAAAATATATATAAAACACAAAATCTTAATGCCTTTATTAATATTAGTGAGGTCGAGACACTTTATATTTTTATATTTACTTAAAAATGTTGAATAATTACCAATATTTGTTGAATTAATTAGTGTTGTGCTTTGTCCTAAAATCTCAATGTCTTTAGTTAGAGTCTTAGGTTTATAAGAATAAATAATTTTTAATATTATTTTTTATTTTTTAAAAATTTAAGACTAAAACAGTCTAAAAATTATGTACACGTAAATAGAGAATTATTTTTACAAATAGGTATAAATTACAGAAGATTATATTATTAAAATGGAATTTTTTTATGTTATACATATTATTCAAGTATGATTGATATATTTATACCTATGTATAAAGGAGATACATGAATTTATAATTATTTTTTCGTCTCCACAATTTTTAAACAATTTTACTCTTAAATCTTTAAATAATAAAAAATAATATGAAAAACTAATCAACCGTGTAACAATTCAAATAAGTTGACAACCTTTAATCACTCAAATTCTCAAATTGTTACACCCATATTACTTAACCTCAATTTTTATTTTATATTAAAATTTTTAAATAAAATTTAGAGAGACAATCACTCAGTACCTAGAATCACTAATAGTTTATAATTAAATAAAAAGCAGTAATAACGTAAAACTTTCTCAAACACTATTATCCAATCTTAAATTCTTATACATTAATATTTTTTTAATAGTAACCTTAAGAATTATATTGAAAATAAATTTTAATTAATTAGTAACATAAAAATTTCCATTCATATATAATATATTAAAATTAATTTAACAACTAAAGTCGATCTATCAGTACGAGTGAGTTATAGTAGTATATGCATTATCTAAGATTTAAATCTTATTCTCGTTATTGAATTTTTTTTTCTTCTAAATATTAAAATTAGTTTCTTCTTTAAATACGTTGAACATGATTTAATTTTTAAGCCGAATTAAATTAAGAATTAACTACATGCATCTATTGTTATTTTCACTAATGTAGAAGCGTGTATATTCATGGTGATTAGCATGGTATTACATAATAAGATAATAATAAGAGAATGCGGTGACATCAAACAGTTGCGTGCAGGCTCACTTGGTGAGCTGTTCCTGGTCAAATTAAGGATGAAAAACAACCTCAAAAAAGTGAGAAACGACACATCCAAAAGCACCAAACCACAAGTTGCTGTGCAAGCCACGGTTCTCTGAATCCTCAAAACAAAACCACTATTTAAGGACTCATGTTTCTCACAACAGTCTTTTCTCAGCAACACCTTCACACACACACCTCAACACCACCTTTCTGAACCCTTCACTTCATTGTCTCTATCCCCTCCCTATTCTCTCTTCAGTTACACACATTCTCAGCGAAGCTTTGTGATTCTATATTGCCACATCCTTATCTAATCTTGTGTGACAGGTAGGCTATTTTGTTTCTGTTTGAGTTAAAGAGAAAAAAGAAGGGTCATCAAAAAACGTTTCTGATCTTTCATGTGTGTTAACTGATTCCCATGTTTTGTGGGAAGTTGTTGTCCTTTTGTCAGAATCACTGATTGAAACTGATGGGGTTGTTTCTCATCATGTGGCTTTTTGTGAAACACAGGACTTAAAAAGTGTGTGATGGAAGCAATGGAGAGCAATCAGAGAAATATAATGGAAGAGCAAAAGATGTTGGACTTGCCAGCAGGGTTCAGGTTTCATCCAACAGATGAAGAACTCATCACTTACTACCTCTCACAGAAGGTTCTTGATAGCTGCTTCTGTGCAAGAGCCATTGGAGAAGCTGATTTGAACAAGTGTGAGCCATGGGATTTGCCTCGTGAGTCTTTTTTTTTTTTTCTTTTTTTTTTTTCTTGCCATGATTCTGTTTTGGTGATCATCATTCTTATGATTAGAATTGTGTTATGTCTATATTCTTATTTTTTTATGGTTTTTTTTTTCAATGAAGGGATGGCCAAAATGGGTGAAAAGGAGTGGTATTTTTTCTGTGTGAGGGACAGAAAATACCCAACTGGTCAAAGGACAAATAGGGCCACTGGTGCAGGCTATTGGAAGGCTACAGGCAAAGACAAAGAGATTCACAAGGCAAAGGCACTGATAGGAATGAAGAAAACTCTGGTTTTCTACAAGGGAAGAGCCCCACAGGGTGAAAAAACAAACTGGGTCATGCATGAATACAGATTGGAAAGTGAACATCCTGTGCACAATCTACCCAAAAAGGCCATGGTAAGGTTTTCTGTTTTCTATTTCAGTTCTATTATTTGATCATAACTTTATTTCTATTTTCACTTAACTTTTATCCTTTTGGTAAACACTCATCGCATAAGTACTTTACAAAAATAAATATTTTCTGGTAACACCGTTCAGATATGATGGCCGCATCTCTCTTATTCCGGCATATCTGAGATGTTACATGTAAAAAAACCCACTAAAGTTGGTCCAATAATAAAGTACATGGATATTTTTATGAATTCTTAAGTTCGATTCATATTGTAGTCATTTCACGCACACAGGAAAAGTTGTTTCATAAAGAATATTACTCTTTCTGCTTTTGCTTCTGTTTTATACTATTCCATTTGGTGTTTTTGAATGTTTGTTGATGTGGTTGTTTTGTCTTGGTTTCTTTTCAGAATGACTGGGCCATCTGCAGGATTTTTCAGAAGGGTAACGGTGGGAAGAAAATGCAGATTCCTGGGTTGGTGAGGTTCAGCTCCTTTAGAAAGGACATGCCACCACTGATGGATTCTTCTCCATACAACAGTGAAGGAAAATCTGTCATGGGGGATTCATCACATTCACAGGCAACAACCTGCTTCTCTGGTCCAAATCAAAGTGAAGAACGAAGGACACAAGATGAAAACATAGTCGACAGCTTTGACAATACTATGTTTGCATCCAAATATTCCTCAAATAACCCCTCTGATATATTTTCCCCTGCCTCATGGAATTTTACCAAACCTGCCCCTACTGTGTCCCACCAATCACTCCAATTTGGGAATTCACAGTGCCCAGATTATTACATGCTTCAAGATCATTCCATGTTGGAGATGTTGATTGAAAACCATGGATCAAGTATTCAGAAAGCTCAGGACAAGGACTCTTTTGATGCTGACATGTCCTCTGTTATGTACAGCAATGAAATGCTTCAAAGATCATTTGGGAATCAGGAATATCCACCAGCTTCTGTAGGACATGTGTATACTAGTAGTGGCCTATGGGGATTTTAAAGAAGGTTGAAGGACTCTATGTGGTTAAAAAATCAAAGAAAGTTTAGGGAATAATATTATTATACATGTAAATAAGTTGCATTAAAGTTAAAGTTATCCTGAAAGTACAGGAAATGGATGTTTTAGGAGAAATTAAATTGTCATTTTGGTTATAGTTCTCCAAAGTTGTATGGCTTGACAGTTTTATATTATAATAGTTTTTTTTTTTTTTGGTAGTATATTTTTATGGTAGTGCTAATTTTTTATTTTTCTCAACCTCCAATTTTTCCATGGAGAATTATATTCTTTGAGGTTAGTAGGTAGAACCAAAATTATGTTTCTTTGCATATTCAATAAGTTGAGTATTGAAACTTATTCAGTGAAGCGAAATCTGGGAGCTCTGCTGGTAATAGGACCCTGATTTCCTTTAATGAATTGGAATATTAACTTAATTTGTAGATTAGTAAGTACTATGTGATGATTTGCAAAACTATATACTCACATAGATGATTAACAAAAACAAATGAAAGCCATAGGAAGCATTGAATCTTTTGCTCTGGCAGAAGCAAAACTCAAAAGTCAGAGCCTCCAAATTAGTAGCAAAGTACTAGAATTAAGTTCCTTACTCTTGTACTTGATTCATTCAATAATAAATTTGTTCCGTTGTTGCTTATGATTATAATAGATATTGTCTGGTCGGGACTCATCATTGTATCTATTTAATTTTATAATCGGAGAATCCAGAATAAATACTCAAATCGATTATATAGTATCATTAGAGTTAATTTAGTAGTCGGGAGAGAGATTGGAATAGTTAGAATTAAGCGGACCTAGATTTTATCTTCATTGTTAGGGATGGAAATGAGGTGAGATAGATACGAGTTTCACTATCTTCATCTCTGTCCCTGTATCCTATACCTGTCTTCATTTTCATACTTGATAGGTATGAAATTTGTGTCTCTACTCTCATCTTCATCAGATATTGGATATACACTTACCCATCTCATACTTGTCTAAAAATTAAGTAAATATTTTAAAAAAAAATATATAAAAAAAACAAAAATTTCAAGGTAGAGTAATAATTACAAAATTATATTAATTAAGTTTTATTTGACATAAATTTAAAATAGAGGTAAAATTACATAAATATCAAGTAAATTTTTAAAAAAATTAAACTAAGTTTCTAAAAATTTAAAGCAAGTACGAGTACAGATATATGTACGAATACGAGATAGGTAAGTATATATCTATTCCGATCCCTATACCTTATTTAATATATTGAGTATTATTTATGTTCGTATCTGATCAAATTGAATATTTCCCATCAAAATCAAGGTAGATTTGAGTAATAGTCACAAGTAGGAGTTTACTTGTTAACCCTACTTATTTCGACTATCTTTATAGTCTTTTCTATCTCTACAAAAAAAAAATTAGCTATATCCTAAATCACTAAGATCAACTTAATAATAATAGATAGTGTATAGTGGTGACTCATAATTTTATCTATTTAATATTTTAATAGGAGAATTCAATATAAACACTTAAACTAATTATACACCACCATTAAGAAAAATGAGGGTAGAGGGAGAAAGTTACTATACAACTTCAATAGTTTTTACATCTGTATCATATAACATAATTGATTATGATTATAAAAATGATTGATAAATAATTTTATTCATATAATTATATATGTATATATAAATAAATAATTGATTAAATATATACTAATTTTATATTTATTTATTTTAAAGTTAAATAATTTAAAATATAAAAATACAAATAATAAATATAATTATTATAATAAATAAAATAATAATAATAATAAATTAAAATTTGTTAATTTAATTTTACTTAAACATACTTTTAGTTCCTATAAAATGAGTAAGTTTTGATTTGGTCCTTGTAAATTTTTTTCTTTATTTTTACTCCTCTAAAATTTATCACTATTATTTTTAGTTCTAATTACTGTGTAATCATTTTTAACTATTTATTCGTTCATTAAAAGGTTAAGTGCACTCATCTCAAATGTTATTTACAACTATTAATAAAATCACATTAACATGCGACACTTCTAAAAAAATTTATAAGTCATTAAATTAAATGTTATTTATATGTCTTAAAATCAATTTTAAGGATAAAAAAATAGTGATTTTAAATTTTAAAGAGATAAAAGTAAAAAAAAAATATTTTAAAGGGGACAAAGCCTAAATTTACTTACTTTACAAGGACCAAAACTATTTTATAAGAATAAAAATAATGTTTACAAATTTTAAAATAATATATATATATATATATATATATTAATTAATTATAGGGAGAAAAATCCAATCTAATTCATTTTGAAAAAAAAAAAAAAATACTTAAGCCTTCAATTTTTATTTAATTTAACTTAAATTAATTAAAAAAACGTTATATTTCTTTCACTTGTCTTCTACCCCTTCTCCTAAACAATCTCAATTTCTAATATATTTTATATCAATTTCCTTTCTTTTTTCTTCGCTTTCTCTTCTCTTTGCTTCTTTCTTTTGTACCGCATACTACTTTAATGTGAAGAAATATTTTCCTAGCCCTAACTTTCCACCTTTCTATGACTCATTCCGTTTGTAGAAAGTTGTGTTGAAGTTAAAAAGAATGTAGTGTGGAGATGGGGAAAATAATGACTCGAGTTATGAAAACTCGAAATGTTTTTGTCACAAAATTGTTAAAATTGGACAATTTAATGAAACAACTAGGCTTTCATGATATGGTAAGGATAATGATATTTCCACAAGTATCCAAAATTATTTCCTCCTCTTTTCATTTACTTTTTCTTGTTATCTCTATATGCTTCTCCTTTTTTCTCTTTCTTTATTTGTTTCTATTTTTTTCCCCTTCATTTTTTCACATTATATTACACCCGAAAATTGGAGTGATGAGGATCATTATCCACATGATAACGAGGGAAGTTTTTGCTATTTATACATGTTTAAACATCAAATATAATATATTTTATATTATTTTTATATAACGTGAATAACTCTCTCTTTTCAGTTAAACCAATTTTAAATAAAATAGTATCTTTAATAATAACTGAATATTCAAATACTCGACCAATTATTTTTAATTAAAAAGTACAAATATCAAATCATTTATACTAATAATTATTAATATAATCAAACACAATCTAGAAATAAATAAGTTAATAAATTATATATGTATATAACTATTAGTATAATAAAATACAATTTAGAAATAAAAAAAATAAAAAAGTATATATTTGAAACATGAAAAAAAGGATTTGCATAATTTGATTAAAAAAACTTAAAATTTAATTAGAAAAAAGGTTTTTATCTAATTCTTCCTAAAATATATTAGTTTTTTTTATAGTAGTTAAATGTATTTAAGGATGAGGATGAATAGAGATGAGTATATATGTAATACGTTAAAGGGCAACTAAGTCCTTTTATGTTTCTTTCGCATTATCCCAATTTAACGGATTCGGTAAGGTTGCTTTGCAATATAAACACGTTTCATTTTCATCATATGCAAATGGCTTAGTCGGCAAACTAAAGATAAAAATAAAAATAAAAATAATTAAAATTTAAAATTAAATTATTATAATTTATTTAAAAAGTATGGAATGTTACTTGTTAATAATTTATTAAGTTTCATAATAATAGCATTATAAATAAAATATTTTCTTTTGTCCTTAATTCACTAGATAACGGATTAATCTTGCTTACAATTCTATCACTGACCCAAAATACTTTTTTTAAAGAGAATATAATAAAGGACAAAACTTGAGCACTTCTTTAAATATGATTATTACTATTTTCTGATCAAAATTAGAATTTTATTTTGATAATATATACATTTATTTTTAATTAACGTAAATTTGACTAATTTAAAAAGAAAATACATATTAAAAGTAAAGATATATTACCAAAACAAAATTTTAATTCTAATTAAAAGACAACATCAACTATATTTAAGAAATTATAATTAAATTTTGTCCTACAATAAAATATTAATGTCCACGAGTTGGTCTTTGTTGACATGCGAATGAAACCTATTACATTAAGAAGTGGGTCAGGAGAATCCAGTTTTAATTTTTTGGATAGGTACGTATAAATTGAATTCAAACATCGAAATATTTATTATAAGTCACACACATTACTCAATTAACCGAGTTATGCTTTCTTAATTAGGTAGATAAGTTGAAAAGCTTCATAATAGCTTAGGTTATAATTAATTATGTTTTAGGTTTCTTTTTAAACTGGTATTTTACAATGCATAATGCACAAAATAAATATTTATTTTATATAAAAATAATTTATAATAAAGAAATAGTTTTGAATATATAAATTAAATATAATTAAAATTCATAATAAATATATTTTTAATATATACATTATATTTTTGAAAAATCATATATGTTGTAATAATAGGATTTTTTTAATTATTGGTATTTTAAAAAAAATAAAATTCAATATAAAACCAAAACTAAATTTTTTTTGAAAGAGATGAAAAGTTCAGAAAATTTCTTAAAAATAATTTTCTTGATAAATAAAAGGCTAAAAACACTCTTGTGGAATAATTGTCTCTAAAGTATTTCATATAAAATAGTTATTCTAATTTATATAAAAAGATATTATTAGTATAATATAATTTTTAAGTAATTATTTATTATTTTTTCAATCGTACCTCTATTTAATAATTATGTCTAACTCTACAACTATTCTTACAATAGATATTAAATGAAAATATTTTAGACTAAATATACTATTTTATGGATCATATTATATATATTTTTTAATTTGTGTTTATTAATCTTAAACATTAGTAGTGGTTTTTAACCTAATTAATTAAAGTAGTATTTAAACGAGTAACATATTTAGTACCCACTACTTGCACAAATCACAAATTAAATGGACTATGAGATGAATTTGAGTGTTTATTCTAAAGAAACAAAAAATAGAGAAGTAAAGAAGGACACATCATATTATGAAAATATGAAAATACAATAAAATACTAAATCATTTTTAAATGAAATGATTTAAAATAATATTAAAATTTAATAGACAAGGTTTGTATCTTTTACACCATTAAGGTATATAATGTCATATATAGTATGTTTATTAGAAACGATTTTGGAATGAGGTTTATCATGTCAAAAAGAAAAACACGAAAG